TGAGGTGGGAAGGGAATGGAGATTTTGCAGTATCCTTCCCCTGCCACGCCACCAAGCCACGCCCACCAAGCCATGCCCACACAACTGGTAGTAAATTTTTTTGAATCCCACCACTAGCCCATGCTACACTGCTCAAAAATAAATAAAGGGAACACAAAAATAAGACATCCTAGATCTGAATGAATGAAATATTCTTATTAAATACTTTGTTCATTACATAGTTGAATGTGCTGACAACAAAATCACACAAAAATTATCAATGGAAATCAAATTGAGCAACCCATGGAGGTCTGGATTTGGAGTTACACTCTAAATTAAAGTGGAAAAAAACACTACAGGCTGATCCAACTTTGATGTAATGTCCTTAAAACAAGTCAAAATGAGGCTCAGTAGTGTGTGTGGCCTCCATGTGCCTGTATGACCTCCCTACAATGCCTGGGCATGCTCCTGATGAGGTGGCAGATGGTCTCCTGAGGGATCTCCTCCCACACTTTGACTAAAGCATCCCCCAACTCCTGGACAGTCTGTGGTGCAATGTGGCATTGGTGGATGGAGCGAGACATGATGTCCCAGATGTGCTCAATTGGATTCAGGTCTGGGGAACGGGCGGGCCAGTCCATAGCATCAATGCCTTCGTCTTGCAGGAACTGCTGACACACTCCAGCCACACGAGGTCTAGCATTGTCATGCATTAGGAGGAACCCAGGGCGAACCGCACCAGCTGGTCTGAGGAACTCATCTCGGTACCTAATGGCAGTCAGGCTACCTCTGGCGAGCACATGGAGGGCTGTGCGACCCCCTAAAGAAATGCCACCCCACACCATTACTGACCCACTGCCAAACCAGTCATGCTGGAGGATGTTGCAGGCAGCAGAATGTTCTCCACGGCGTCTCCAGACCCTGTCACGTCTGTCACATGTGCTCAGTGTGAACCTGCTTTCATTTGTGAAGAGCACAGGGCGCCAGTGGCGAATTTGCCAATCTTGGTGTTCTCTGGCAAATACCAAACGTCCTGCACAGTGTTGGGCTGTAAGCACAACCCCAACCTGTGGACGTCGGGCCCTCATATCACCCTCATGGAGTCTGTTTCTGATCATTTGAGCAGCCACATGCACATTTGTGGCCTGCTGGAGGTCATTTTGCAGGGCTCTGGCAGTGCTCCTCCTGTCCATCCTTGTACAAAGGCGGAGGTAGCGGTCCTGATGCTGGGTTGTTGCCCTCCTATGGCCTCCTCCACATCTCCTGATGTACTGGCCTGTCTCCTGGTAGCGCCTCCATGCTCTGGACACTATGCTGACAGACACAGCAAACCTTCTTGCCACAGCTCACATTGATGTGCCATCCTGGATGAGCTGCACTACCTGAGCCACTTGTGTGGGTTGTAGACTCCGTCTCATGCTACCACTAGAGTGAAAGCACCGCCAGCATTCAAAAGTGACCAAACCAACAGCCAGAAAGCACAGGACCTGAGAAGTCGTCTGTGGTCACCACCTGCAGAACCACTCCTTTATTGGGGATGTCTTGCTAACTGCCTATGCTTTCCACCTGTTGTCTATTCCATTTGCACAACAGCATGTGAAATTGATTGTCAATCAGTGTTGCTACCTAAGTGGACAGTTTGATTTCACAGAAGTGTGATTGACTTGGAGTTACATTGTGTTGTTTAAGTGTTCCCTTTATTTTTTTGAGCAGTGTATATTGTAGAGGTGCTCAGATTGAAAAACATACCCTAACTCAAATCAGCTCAAAGTTTCCTAATCAAATTGTGCTGCACACTGTACAATACTGCCTCTTCATTTGCCCTAATACCTACAGTGTTGCATTTTAGGATTGGCTTGCAAAATAAGTGAACTCATATTTTAGGACACCAAGTGATGAGTGTCAGCCTCATCACATATTGCTCACTCTTTGTAAGATGCTACAGCTTGGTTTTAAAGCCATTCACAATTGGCTTGTTTCCAGCAGTTACATTTTCATTTCCTCTTTGTATCTTTCTCATTCTCATCACGAAATTTTCAGTGATAACTCTTTAATCCTTTTCTGAATCCTTCTAGCTCAGTAATGGTAGTATTCTATTGTTCAATTATAAGCTTTAAAAAGCATTTGTGTATGCTATCTGCTCTCACTAGCTGTAGCTTTGTAGATTTCATAATTAGATATCCCTATATATGAGAAGAAAAACAAAGCTTTTGTATTTCATTTTCTCTGTACATTCCAGTTCACATTATCCTTGTCATTGAATTTGGCTCCTGAACAAGTAAATTCTAGCAGTTGAATTGTTCTTATTTGTACTTGAAAGTTACAGCCATTGCCACTGTTCTTCCTGCTCAAAATTTCCACCATTCTTTGACTGTATTTGAACTGAACTTAAAGGAGATCTGTTGGCAGTCCACTTCTAGCTTGAACATAATGACAGATGAAAATGTGGGACACAAGTGCCTATAGAAACAAGTATGGATAAGGACTCTAATGCATTTTGATCTTAGAATTATGCTGTTCGTTATTGTTACGTTGTGCTTTTTCCTAAAGATTTCTTAACCAACCTTTTTTACATTTTGGTGACTATGAAAGCCTGCTGTACTAGGTAGTGTGTTGGTCAATATTCAGGAGAACTAGCTTAAAATAATTGCGTACTTAGCAGTAAAATGTGTTTCCTTGATTTTGAACTAATCAGATTTCAGCTCATCTGCTCTCTTAGCATTTTTAATAACAAGTAGAACTTCACAACATTTTTTTGTGAAACAAGGTTTAGGAGGAGATATGATCAGATTCTCTGAACTTATTTCATAACTTTTATGATACCTCAGTATGAGATTCCCAAAATGATAGTTAGAATCATTTGTTATCAATAAAGCCCAAGTTCCTTGACTATGGCATCCATCTGAATCAGACTTCCTTGATATATAGCAAGTTTCTTTTAATGCCAAGAAACTTTGGACAAATTTTATTGGAAGGAGCCTGTGAACCTACTAAATATAAGTAATTTATTGATTCCATTAGATATCATCCCATAGTTTTGAGTGGGATACCTACTATAAACATATACAGTTTCCAGAATTCTTGGATGTATGAATTCATATGAGTTAATTAAACCAATCCAACAAATAGCACAAATCAATAGTCAAGCTACGTCCCATTCATTGGTTGATAACATCATTTTATTTTGGACAGAATACATGATATAATATTAATATGTTTTGTTTCCCAATATGAATTTTCTATTTTGATGGAATCCTTCATTAAAAGTTCATTCCTCTGGCAGTTTTGTCAGGCACAGATGAACCAAAAATGGCTCACTGAGGATTCTGGTATTTATTTTGACAATTACAGATTGCATTCAGAATATTGTGGCACTTTTCAATTTACTGTTGTGTATTTAGATATTTAAGGAAAAACAGCTATAAAGGGAAATAGGGACAACTGGTAAGGAAAAACTGCAAATCATATCTGAATGTTATTTCTTTCAGTTATCTTCAAAGATAACCATGAGAATATTTGCATACAAGATCATTTGATTTTCTTTTTCTGGGAAGCATAAACAACTTTGGCCAAAAAATCATGTTGTAGCCCCTAGCTTGCTTGTGATGTAAAATCAGATTGTCTGTGACATAAAACTAAGATGGGAAAAGTTGCAAAAGTTGGTGGCGTCAATAGAAATATTTAATCTCCAAAATAATCCATATCCTATCCAGATTGTGATATGCCTCCCAGAGTCAATTTTTGTGAGATGTGAGGCTATACAAATTAGATAAATAAATACCCCACCCTGAACAAGTTATTTAGTTTAATGTATATAGGAAGAAAAAAAGCCACCAACTACCATAATTACTGAATTTTAGTAAGATAGTAAAATAATTCAGGGAGTGGGGAAGAGAGCAGCTAGCATATGGTATCTCGGAACCAAGGTTTTAACCCTCTCTTTGTGCCCTCTTGACTTCATCTGAATAGGGCCATACTATGTACCAAAAATAAAATTGCATCTTCTTTTGGATGCTTCCTCCTGCACTTCCAATTGTAAAATAAGGTAAACAAAAATGCTTAAGTTCTTTTACAAATCCTACCCTTCAAAAAGACCTTTGACTATGTATCAGAATGGTCAAACAAATGGCAACTTCAAATCTCAACAAATAAATGCTCTGTCCTACATATTGGCAATATATATATATATATATCAGAAAGTCAAGACCTTGTTGATGATCCAAACTCTGTCAAGGATCTTGGAGTACTCATCTCTAATGACCTAAGTGCTAGAGCCCACTGTAACTACATATCCAAAAAGGCATTAAGACTTGTCAACCTAATCTTTTGTAGCTTTTTCTCTGGTAATATTACACTAATAACTAGAGCATACAAAACATTTGCTAGACTAATACTCGAATAGAGCTCATCAGTCTGGAACCCACATTACGTATCTGATATTAACACAGTTGAGAAAGTCCAGAAATATTTCACAAGAAGAGTTCTCCACTCCTCTACTCGTTGCAGAATACCTTATGCCACCAGACTCAAAATTCTAGACCTAGAAAACCTAGAAGTACACCACCTTCGGTCTGATCTAAGTATAGTATATAAAATCATACATTGCAATGTCCTACCTGTCAATGAATACTTCAGCTTCAACCATAACAACACTAGAGCAAACAATAGATACAAACTCAAGGTTAATCACACCAAACTTGATTGCAGGAAATACGACTTCAGCAACAGAGTGGTCAATGTCTGGAATACTCTACCTGACTCTGTGGTTTCTTCCCCAAACCCCAAAAACTATAACCTTATACTGTCTACTATTGACCTCACCCCTTTCCTAAGAGGTCTGTAGGGGGCGTGCATAAGCGCACCAACGTGCCTACCGTCCCTGTCCTATTGTTTCTTTTATATATTTTTTATTTTTCTTATATGTATCCATGTATTCATAACTATGTTTTTACTTATACCTATTATCTTGTAAGCAATTGACAAATAAAAATAAATAAATAAAATATAATTGACTTTTGCAGGTAAAGAAAGTTGTGCAGCAGGAAGGTTTTGGGAGGAAGAAGAGAGGATACAGAAGCATCAATGAAATTGTCATCAACATGGATGATCCTTTATTTACAAAACAGTGGTACTTGGTAAGCAGACTAGTTCTTTCCTTCTTCACAGCAGGAGAATGTATTGCCTAATATGAAGCCCTCAGACAGAACTTGGAATAAAACAATGGAATGATTCTGAATGATAATTTTTTATTTTTGTCTAATTGTAAGCTCTTTTAAAGCCCCCTGTATTGCCTTGGAAATGTTTAAATCTTTTCTTTTGTGGTTTACTCAGATTACTTTTTCATAGCCTTCTTCTGCCTGCCATTCTGTCTGTGCCCACATTTTTTATTGACCCAATTGCAACTACATTAACTGTAACTCTCTTTCACCAGTCCTGGTGATAACTGACTCTACTGAGTGAATATGCCACTTTTTAAACTAGCTTTTTAAGTGGGTTAAGTTTCTCACTTGCACATAAATGATTTCTGTATTTAAATATTACTAGATATCCATATGGCCACAAGGGTTATATTGCTGGGATAATTAATACATAGATTATCCCTAAATCACAAATTTCCCTGAAAGCACAATTTTTGTTCTTATAATAAATCAATGTGTCCTGTTCAATGGAGAATTTCGATGTCCACTGTAAATAAGGGTTCAGGCTATGAAACAAGACCCATAGAAGCAATTGGACAAGACGAGATATAAAAATTCAGGACCATGGCCAGTTCCACACAGGAAGAGGTATACAATAAGAACAATGAAGAAAATATTAAGGAATGTTTTACAACCTTTCCTGCTAACTGGAAGAGACTAAATAATCATCTTAAAAGTCACAATGCAGCAGCAACATTCCTGTGTGACACAATGGATCTAAGAAACAAAGCCAGTTCAGAAGAGTAGACACAGGTCTTCATTGTGGCTGGTGGGCTTTTGGTCCTGGGTCATGGCACAATGGCACTCATCTCTATTTTTACTTTGGCTTTGGTTTTATTACTCTCCAGAATTTTGCATATCAGGTCTGGCTTTCATGGTTATTTTAATATAGACTGCTATGCTGCTTCTTTTTATGTATTAATTTGATATTTAATGAATGAGTTGGTTGCAAAGTATCCTGTGGAGTTATAACCAATACTTATTTAATTTGAAATTTAATTTGTTTTGAGTGAGAGACCAGCTGAATTGCCATGTTTTAAGACATGGCTATTTGGATAGCAAATGCGGTATTCTGTCTGATGAGACATAAAATTCTCAGTGGCATAATCCTACTTTATGACAAAACAAGAATGAATATTGCGTTTTCCTTCTCAAAAAGAAAAATATCTGGGTTCCAAGCTAGCTTTAAAGAGTGATTGTTTTTAAATTATTATAGTCTCATTCTCCTCATCCACAGATGTTCTGGAGCAAGAAGCACTCCACATGCTCAGAACTGAGACCCTGCCATTTCCCCATACTACATACAATCAGTTGTTGAGTTGTGCCATTCAAACTGCATTTCAAATAGCTCCCCACTATAGCAGTGGCATCCATCAAATAATGAAATCTATTAAGCCTCTTGCATTTTGACCTAAACGAGATCCGCATTTTATGATAGTATTTATGGATTTGTGCCTCTTTTGGGGCTGCATTTCCAAGGAAATGAAGGCCATTTGGTGGCAGATGAATCAGAAGGAATCTCAGTGGAGGTAAACATTCTGCTTTGTACCGAGCAAATTAGTCTCTTATGCTTTTTGTTTGAAATGTGATGCATTAGATCAACACTGGGCAAGCAGATGGGACTCCTGGCCTTGATTTAAATGTGGCTGAAGCCTGGGAGCTGGGCTACACAGGAAAAGGAGTAACGATAGGAATTATGGATGATGGTAAGTGAAAACTAAAATATCGTGACTCTCTGTAAATTTTACCCTTTATTGTAACAAGGAATGCAATTTAACATTAGAACTCACTCTATTATTCACTTCCGTCAACATTCTGGAATGTTAATTAAAAACCTTAGAAGATATTCAGTCATAATTTTTAATAACAAATCATTATCCAGACAAAGTTCCCTTTGGATACAGTCTGTTTCCAAAGAATTTTGTTAAATCCAGCCTAGGATAAAGCATTTAGTTAAAGCACATTGGATTACTAATTTGAGAAAGTGGTAGCAGAAGTAAATGTTGAATTAATTGCCATGTGAATGTGTACTGTTTGTGTGTTTCCCCAATGTATTTCTAAAAAGAAAGAAAGAAAAGAAAAGAAAGAAATTTTTAATGCTTTCCTCCATTTACCTGAGCTGGATTTTTAATCTGCATTGTAAGCTTTCCCGCACAGTGCTAAAAATAATCAGAGAAGTTGCTATGCTTGAACAAATCCCTGGGGAGCTATTCTTGCTATACTGATGCTCCACTGGATAAATGAGGCTGCTTGTTTACCGATAGCATTATCCATCTGCACTTGACTCACAACTCCCTGGCTCCTTTATTTGGGTCCACAGGGGAACTTGTTCCTTTTGCAGTGACTGAACACAACTGAAAGTTTCTGTGTCCAAAATATCTCCATTTATGTTTTTGGATTGGGGAGGTGGGGGACAAGGTGGGCATAGAATGGAAACACTACAACTTGCTATCATCTAACTATAGATTGTTATTGATTTGCACCACCAGGAACTGTTTTTCTGCAATCTTAATTCCATCTATTTTGGATGTCCCTGTGATTTTTACCCACACAAGGTTGTTGTAGATCATTATCAGTCCTGATTCAAAATATCCAGACCCATACATACTGGACTTAAATGCAGATTAGATCCAATTAATTTTGCACTTTCACATTATGTCACAATTTCTCATAACTGACATCAAAGCACAAATCTGAGAAATTATGTGGAAGTATATTTTATCCAGTTATAAATACCAACTGACATGGAAGTAAAATGGAATGAACAAGGGTGACATTAGAATGAAATAATTAAAAATAATAGTTGGAAACTCAGCAGAGCTAAGCAATGGTGCAGACACATTTTGATGGTTTAGAACATAAGTGTCAAACTCACAGCATCACATCGCCATCACGTTTCGTGACATTTTTTCCATTCATGGAGCTGGATTGAGCATGGCCTGTGCATGACGTATCTGGCCCATGGGCTGCCAGTTTGACACCCCTGGTTTAGAATCTCAGCAAAGATAAAAAATAGAGCAGAAGAAGTGGTTTAGTTATATCTAACCAGCCTTCAGACTATGTCCCAATCCAGAACATCTAGTCTCAACCCACCATGAGCAAGCAGAGAGGAGCAATAACCTAAATCTTGATCATCTTTTTTATAGTGTGCCTACTAGAACTACTTAATAATATGAAAGTAAAACCTGCTGTAAGGTGCAAAATCAACAGTCCAAATTCCTAAATTCTTGTCTTAAAATTGTTTTTTCCCTGCCTCCTACTGATTAAAGAGAAGTATACAAATATTGAATGAAAGTAACCAAATTTATTAAAAAAAATAACTAATTTCCAAAATAACTGATGAAAAGTGAAGGCCTTTCCATACCTTGCTATTGGGGTTATTGATTTTTTTGTTTTGCAAATTTCTGTAAAGAACCATTATAATGAAAACCAGTGCAAGCTGGATAATAAACAGAGAAATTGAATTTACCTAAAATGGAAGTCTGCAAAATTTTGCTGTTTTAGTTACAGGGAACAAAGATTGCATTTGTTCACAGAGATACAATTTTTATTCCATCCCTCACTGCCATTCAAAAAAAATGTTTATGTCCTTTCACATTTTTAGCCTGCTATAGAAGACCATATTAATATTTGATTATGATTTGCTATACTGCAGCTATGGTTTCAGCTGGAAAATATGACACTTTGCCTAACTAATCTGAAAGAATAAATGTTCTGGAATAAAGACCTGGAGGCTAAAACATATGAGGGAACAGTTGGAGGACTTGGGTTTGGCTAGTCTAAGAAAAGAAGGACTAGGGGTGACATGATAGCAGTATTCAAGTATTTGAAAGGCTGCCACAAAGAAGAGGGGGTCAAATTATTTTCCAAAGCACTAGAAGGCAAGAGAAGAACCAATGGATGAAACTAATCAAGGAGAGAAGCAACCTGGAATTAAGGAGAAACTTTCTAACATTGAGGACAATTAACCAATGGAACAGCTTGTCTCCAGAAATCATGGGTGCTTCATCATTAGAAGTTTTAAGAAGAGACTGGACAGTCACTTGTCTGAAATGGTATAGGGTCTCCTGCTTGAGCAGAAAGCTGGACTGGAAGTTTTCCTAGGTTCCTTCCAGCTCTATTCTGATTCTGATGATATTAATTGGCATCGTTGATACAAATAATAAATTAATAGCAGATTTTGTATGCGTGCTCTGGTCAGCATGCTGGAATTCTAGGCATTCAAAATTCTGCTTCTCAGCCATGAAACAATGTGCAAATTAACACATGCATATTTCCAGAGATGGTTTAATTAATAAGATGCTTCAGTTTGCAGATGATTTGGGATGTAAGGAAAAGCTAACACAGAACTGATCGTTGCCATAGTATTATTAGGCAACACTAATGATATTATATAATAATAATGTCGAAGTGTGCAGAGACCATTTTGAAATGTAAGTGAATTCAAAACCATTTTTTAGCCCAAAGCGCTCTATTATGAATGTTCTAAAACTGGAGGTGTTTTAAGATCAAAGTTCAAGCTCAAATATTCCCATGATCAGAACAGATCTTTCCATCCTCAAAACAATGACGTTGCACTAAACATGGAGAATTTCAAATCCAAAATACTTTGCAAAGTTTTGTAATAATCCCAAGAAGAATCTCTCAAGGGATTTTCTACGTCAGATAATTTGACCTAACATTGATTCTAAACACATATTAGCAGAGTACAGCCAATCTTCAGGGAATAACAAGGCAACCAAAAGCTCAAAGTTGTTGTAGCTGCGATCTTGACATTTTTTTTAATCACATCCTGAAAATGACCCTTTATACTAGTTTGTTTTCTGTTGTATGAGCAACCTCTGGGGAATTCAGACCAAAGATTGCTTTCAATAGATCTACTATCTTTTGCTTTGTTCTTTCCATCCTCTCAGTTTTGTACATACCTGGTAAGTGTAGTGTACTAGAATGAGGCTGGAGTGTAGATGGGAATCTGAAACTGCACATGTAGAGATGTCCCATGTTCTGAATACATGGAAATAATTATTAGATAGCTGGTGAAGTGTGATGGCAAAAAACTAAATGTATTTGCAGATTTAGTTCAATGCATCTACATAGATAGTAAAACTTTTGCTTTCTTTTCCAGAGCAGAGACTTTGTTTAAAGGGAGCAGGAGGATTGCTCTTATCTATTGGTGGCTTGAAACGGACTGCATAATTGCTAATCACACAAGGAAAATGCATTTAGTGGAATACATTTGTTTTTAATGGAAGGTAGTTTAAATTTTACAGCTGAAGGTTGATACATCTAAATGTTAAATTCTTTATCAAAACAAAAAAAATGTAATGGTTTTTCTCTAAAGCATAAATTGGAAATGGTGCAATTCATGATCATTCTTACAGAAGGAATACATAACTCATGTACACCAGGTTCTTTGGTTTACAACGGTTATAAATACCAGGCACTATAACAAATGACAAGGGATTTATGGGAATCACAGTCTAAAACATCTACTAGAACATCTACTGACTATTTCCTAGTATGATTTGATTGCTTATTGTACCCTATGACTATCATTAAGTGTTGTACTTTATGATTCTTGACTCTTGACGAATGTATCTTTTTATGTATACTGACAGCATTTGCACCAAGACAAATTCCTTGTGTGTCCAGTCACACTTGGCCAATAAAGAATTCTATCTGTCTTCTATCTAGAATGGGCACTGGATTTCCCAAAACAGTTAGGAAATGCAACTTTCTTTGAAAATAGCTGTTAAGCAGTTTTCTTGTTACAAAAATTTCTGAGAGATCATTTGACCACATATATTTGGATTGGCATTAGGAAATATCTGATTATCTATGTTCAACAGTTTTCAATAAATCTGAATACTGACTAGTTTGGAGTAATTTGACTAATAAAAGAAGCCTCAGTGACATGAGGGCAAAAGGTAGTAATTCTTCTCCTACATACCCTTCACAGTGTTTTAGGAAATGGAAAAAATTGTGATGAATATAGTATCCATTTCAGAAACAGGAAGCTAATGCCCTGATGACTGTAGGCCAAGTCAAGATATATAGAAAAGAAGTTCCTAAGGAAAAGGGAGTAACAATGATTGGTGTTTTATAGAACTGATGGCATGAAAAATTGTGAGAAGGGTACAATGAAGGTTATAATTGTCATCTGTATCTCCCAGGGAGGAGAAGAGGACAAAACATAATCATGAGATTAGATTGCAAATAAAATTATTTAAGTACTTCAGTTAGAAGTCACGCCATCATTGCATAATTGTACTATTTGTATTATAATATCATGGCACAATGGCTTATTGTTTTGACATCATTGTGGCTTGTGAGTTTTGCTAAGTGACAATTTCTGGTTTACATTCACTGAGATCTTTAATTTTGTTGAAACTATTGGCTTTGTAAGACTCTATTTGATAAATTAGGGCCAATTGTAAACCTAACCAATCTTATCAGTAAATCTGACAGTCTAATTTTTGTGTCTCAAATTCGCACCATATTTCTGAACCTAGCTTGCCAACCTATATAAGAAGTCCTAAGGCCTATGTTTGACTTGGGATATGCTTACCTACAAAGTAAATGGCTTTCCCAGCTATTCAAAACATTACAAGTTCTACTATTTTTTCCTTCAATATACAGTATTTGTGGCTTATTGCTGCTGTTGATTTTTGCAGGAATTGATTATCTTCATCCAGATTTGGCTGCCAATTATGTAAGTATACCATTTTCTTCAGGTTACAGTTCTATATTTTTTTGCCTAGTCATTTTTATATTAAATAGCTAGATGCTTAAGAATATTAATAGCATAACTACTGTTGATTTAGGTGACAAAATAGGTACATAAAATATGTACTCTCCACAATAAACATAGCAAAGTTTAATCTGACAATTTCTGAATTGTGGCAGATATAGGTTCTGTATACGAAATGACATGGCTTTCAAATGCCAAATACATTTTATTACTAATATTCAAATGTGCATAATCTCAAAATCTTTATATGAAGTAGCTGTCACACAGTGGCAGCAGCCAAGATAATTTACAAAAAGTTATTATCTGAACTGGAAGACATAAATTTTACATGGATCTGATGTTTAAAAATATTAAATACATAATATTTTTCAATCTTATAAAATCACCTTCTTTTAGCTTACAGCACTACAATGCAAAAAAATAATAATACAAAAGCAAAATTAAGTTCTTTCATATTTAGAAGATTCTAGAATGTGATGAGAATTTAAAAAAATGCCTTATCAAAGTGCAAATTTAGTCTATGCAAAATTGGTCATAAAAATATTTGGATGCAAAATCACATTTTTAAAATCCAGCAAGAGCTCAGGACAGGGAATTAATATATACATGTTGCATAAATATTTGTCAAAGTAGCACCAAGTGAGAGAATTAACTCTGGAAGGGAATATAGCTTTCCAAATAAGGTAGATCCCAATGTTAAGGTAATTTCCATTCACTGATTATATAGAAAAGGTTCAGATTTCATTGTTTCCATTTAAAAGATCTCAAGTGACAAGGCTGGGACAAATCATGTTTGATACCTTGGTGAAATCCTATCAGTAATAGGAAATAATTCTGGGTTAGGTAGACCAAGGGCTTGTCTCAGGAGAAAACTGTTCTGTTGCTAAACTCAGATGATGAAAATAAGTCTTTATCAAAAATAAACAGAAGGTTATGACTAGGAATTAATTCACCAATTGATTTGAATAAAAAGTCTCTTAAAGAGACAACAGCAGGCCAGGCAACCATTTATCAGCTTACTATTCTATTCTTCAGTTGTTAAAATAGACTTTTTTAATAGAGCATAAAATAAAGTGATTAGAGTGAAGAAATGGCAAGAAAGACAGATAGATAGATGAAGAGGCAAACAGTTGGACAGATGTGTTATGTACTGTATAGAAGAGATACAGTTATTTTTATTATCCTTAAATAGTTCACAGAGAACCAAGAGTATCATTTTTCTAGCAGAGTATGCAAAAATCAGAGCTCAATTTAGTAAAATTTTATAGTGTGCACAAGATGTACATTGTACCATGTTCCAAACCCAACTGAGCCTTTTAAAAAAAAGACTAATTGTTAATTCATTGTTTTTGTATGAATAGGCTTCAGGCAAATTGCATAATAATCAGAATGTTTAGAGAGGGAATCAATCTAGAGTTAGGCTGAATTTTTGATTATTCTGGTAAATAAACAAAATGAAGGCAACATAGAGGAATCTTTCAACATGCATTCAAGTCTGAGAGATAGAAGCAAAAGCAGAGCTTTATGGAATGAAGGATAATTGCTTCAGATTGACCCCATTCCTTGAAAATGGCAGGTCTTTTCATTTAGGGATAGATTTTCATGCAGGTGATGGATATAATGAAAGAACAATACCGGGCCTTGTGCTATTTTATCATTACATACATAACTTACAATGTCTGATTACTTAATTGTCTGATCTATTGGAGCATCCATTCACTTTTGAGGTTACAAATGTTATTCAGTGAGCTCAAGGCAGTAGATGCAGGGAAAATTTAGAACTTTATTTTAAGGGTGTTTTTTTTTAAAGCCAAAATAATGTTGCTTCAACAAAAAGCAGAAATCTCCCTAGAAAAAGAGTTGGTGTGATTTAAGACTCCTATTAGCATTTTGCCTACCCTTTTAGTAACAGTTGGGTTGGGTTGAAGTAAAAATATATAAGGAACCCATTCTAGCTCCCTGTTTTTTTTCTTTGGGGCAATAGCAATAGCATTTTGATTTATAGATTGCTTCACAGAGCTTTACAGTCCTCATCCTCATTCTACTGAGCTTGGAAGGATGGAAGGCTGAGTAACCTTGAGCCAGTCAGGATTGAACTCCTGGCAGTGGGCAGAATTAGCCTGCAATATTGTATTTTAACCACTGCACCACTGCATGGTGACTAAGGAATTCGGATTCAGGTGTGTGTGTGTGTGTGTGTGTGTGTGTGTGTGTGTACACACACTCACACACACATATCCTTACTTTCATCATCTTTCAACCCTTCCCATGTATAAATTCATTGTTGTTATCAAAAATAATTGATCCAACGGTCTGTCAAGTATGTGGCAGCTGCACCTTTAGATGTTGGTGGCATTTACACAGTGGGGTAGCTCAGTGCTACAGTGACTCATGCTGACGATAGATGGAGTCATGCTCATCATGATTTAACACATCTTTGAAATCTCCCCACAAGAAACCTTCTGTTGAGTGGGAAGAAAAGGCACATGCTGCCAAAAGAAGGAAATTAGAAGCAGAGCTGATGAAATATTGCACAGAATAGGTGACATTTACAACTGCCCTTTTGAATTTCTTTTTGCAGCTCAACACAATGTGACAGAATACATAATGGGCTATTTTAAACAGAGATGACCGGAGAGCACAGCATAGTTAAGATGACTTTTAGTTACACTCATTGGATGGGGAAAATGGAGTTTCCACTTTGTCTACTGTTGGCTGGAAACATTTGATTCTAATGAAAGAGATTCAACAGAGAGATCTAAAGAACATCATCAGAAAGAGAGATTACTTATATTCCATCAGTAAGAAGGAATATGAAACAGTAGACTGAATGGAGAAGGTTTAGGTTATTCTCAAAATACCTAGTATGACTGGGACAAATACAGGGGGTGAGCTAGATGGACCAATTGCATGGCTTTACAAGTTGGTAACTGCATTCCCTCATTGAATTAACCCAAAATCATTTATTGAATAATCATAAATACCTAATTTCATACATTTATTATATGTATTTATTTATGAAATTGAGCTGATCACCTTAAAGCAGGGAGACTCTAGCCAGCTTATAGAATACAAACTCATAATATGCATTAAAACAGCAAGTAGAGATAAAAGACTAAAAATATAGAGTTCTGGAAGATAGTCCATCTGAGTAAGCTTATTCCTAAAGGCCTTACAGAAAAGCTATGTTTCTACCAGCTTTTGGAAGATCATAAAGATGGGGTTCATTTGTGCTCAGAAGACAACTGTGAGCCCTAAGAAGACTGGGTCAGGAAACAGGCCTTAAAAGAATTAGTGAAACTCTACTGGATTGTTGCAGGCGAAATTAAAAGAATTTTGAAAGCCAAAAGTTTTTCTCTGCCCCCTCTTATACTAAAGAGAATCAACGTGGGGTAATCTTGAATTTCATTCTGTCTCCCTCTTTCTTCATAGTGCTAAGCTGTTTTTCATGCAGCTCTTCTTGCATTCCTTAATTTGAACATATCCTGGGTGGTGATAGTGAGCTCTAATGGAGCAATTTACAAATCCTTGAGAGTCAAGGATCTAGTTTGGGCTTGCCACTGCTGAAATACTTGTGGAAAACAATGGAGTCTGAGTGGGTTTTGTTTTGTTTTGTTTTTGTTTGGATGAGGGTAATAAATTATTTGAGACTGGGAAAAGAGACAATTGGGTCAAACAATTTAAGAATCGCTGCCCTAAATCATGGTTTTCAAATGATATCACACTAAACTACAACCTAATCAACCATCATGAGTTCATGTAATGTGAGAATCCAAATGGTGTCTACCGATTCTTTTTCCTAACTGAAACTGCTTCTGTCACAATCATTCTGGAGAGATGCATCACAATATCTTTCTCTTCCATTTCATTGACATTTTTTTGCCCAACAAGAACCAACTTCAGACTGTTGGGAAAGTGATATGCAAGATATCCTTCAACCATTGGGACAGATCAACTGCCCAAGTTCAGTTAAGATGAAGCTTATGATTATTACTTGAAGAAAATCTAGAAGGTTTCATGAGAATGTTTGGATAATAAGGGACAGGTGATTTGGAGAACATCCAAAAATTTAAGTGGATGAAAAAAACCTGAATGCAAGATGAATGTCAGTACTTTGGTATAACTACCATAGCCTCTTTAAACTGAAAAAATGCATAGCTAAGCCATCTTTTTTTAAAAAAAAATTGATCCAGTTGTTGACTAACATAGCCATTTACATGTCTCACTATATCCCAATTCTTTGGCATTGTGAAAAGCTTCTGTGATGTCCATCAACCCGTTGATCCTTGGAGTACCATTTGTTTCTACCTTGTCTGCCTGGAAAATGTGCAACTGCCTAAGAAGAGGAAAAAAACCAAGTGCTACAATGGGCGTTTTGTGCATGGTCTCTTCAAACTTAGAACAAGCTATGGTTAAGGAGAGATGAAAGTCATATACATCACATCATCTGAATGATGAGGATTCTCTTTCCTTCTTCTCAGTTTTTTTTCTTGAATCAACACCGGGCTGAACCTGAGTTAGCATCCAAACTAAGTGCATTAAAATTGTCTATCAGGATGGGAAATATCAGGGACAAGAATTCTAATCCAACTAGGCACTGGAACTTCTCTATTAGAAAACTAATATTTATAAATCTTTCACTAAGACAATTTGTCAATGCCTTGTGGGGTGGGGTGGGGAGAATCCTGAAGAAGTCAGGAAAACCATCCAGCTGACAGCTTGAAATTAAAGTGTTATCTAAAGTAACAGCTGGAGGAACAATGTGAAAAGGCTTCCCTGCTATACTGCACAATATAAGTGCTGTTGTATTCATGTCATATAATTGACTTTCAGTTATTGTCTCTCAGTTGCACTTGCTCATTTATTGGAAGCAGCTCCTGATAACCATAAACTAAGGATGCTGAGATAAATCAGCACAACTGATATCTGCAGCAGATAGCATATTCCCATTGGTGCAATTA